CCTAGACTGGGAAGTTAAACAATAGACATTTGTTTCTCACAGTTCTGGATGCTGCAGAGTCCAAGGTCAGGTTGCCAGCCTGGTCGGGTTCTGGTGAGGACCCTCTTCCTGGCTTGCAGAAAGCCGCCTTCTTGCTGAATTCTCCCATGGTGGAGAGAGGAAGCTCTGTATCTTCCCTTGAGGACACTAATCTTATCGTGGGGGTCCCACCTTCATGACTTCATCCAAACCTATTTATCTCCCAAAGGCCTCACCTCCTAATACCATCATATTGGGCATTAGGGTTTCAAATTTTGAATTTGGGGGAGACATACACATTTAGTCCATAATAGATGAGTAAAGAAAGAGTTTAGTATTATGCCTGGCATGTGCAAGTGCCCAGTGAGTGACAGTTGTCAGTATCACCTTTGTTCGACTGGGAACTTAAACAATAGACATTTGTTTCTCACAGTTCTGGATGCTGCAGAGTCCAAGGTCAGGTTGCCAGCCTGGTCGGGTTCTGGTGAGGACCCTCTTCCTGGCTTGCAGAAAGCCGCCTTCTTGCTGAATTCTCCCATGGTGGAGAGAGGAAGCTCTGTATCTTCCCTTGAGGACACTAATCTTATCGTGGGGGTCCCACCTTCATGACTTCATCCAAACCTATTTATCTCCCAAAGGCCTCACCTCCTAATACCATCATATTGGGCATTAGGGTTTCAAATTTTGAATTTGGGGGAGACATACACATTTAGTCCATAATAGATGAGTAAAGAAAGAGTTTAGTATTATGCCTGGCATGTGCAAGTGCCCAGTGAGTGACAGTTGTCAGTATCACCTTTGTTCTCTTAACAGGGCCCAAGAGAAAGGGTCTCCTTTGCACTGTGGCTGTGGCGGGTTTTCCCCCTGTATCCAAGGGGGGATTTGTGTTTATCAGGTCCTGCAGTGCGACTGCAGCATGAGGTGCAGGGAGTCCTGGTGGGAAGGGAGCTAATCTCCCAGAGGCCTTTGCTGAGGGAGAAGCTAGGAATTCTCACCCTTCACACTTCATAGCATTTTAAATGTGAACTTTAAAATGGGCAAGAGAATCCTCATCACTTCCTTCTGAAAAGGAGAAGACCTGTCTACCTTCATTTTCTTAATCTGATTTTATATCTGTATGTGCTCTAAATCAGCCAAAAAAACCCAACAGACTTTCTAAATAAAAATCTGTAAGAGTCTGAAAATCATCAGCCTACATCTATACCCTCTTTTCCATACTACTCGCAATTTACAGTATTCTAATTTTTATTTGCCTCCTTTTATTACCAATCTAAATTTAAAGCCCAAAGTCTGTCTCCGAGACACTTTAGCAATTGGTAGCTTGTCAGTTATTCCGAAATTATGTGGAAGAGATGGGCTGACTTAAAATAGGAAGCATTAAGAATTGACATGAAAGTCCAAATAATTGCCTAACTTCACATTTTATTTAATCATGTTCAGTATTCAGCAAATGCATCAGCCTTAGATGGATTTAATTTGGATTCACAAACTTTGTTGTTTTTCAGTAGGAATGTAGAGTTGATTTGCCAGCAGTTGACCAGATTAAAGCAAAAGAGTGGAATTAATCAGCAGGCCAGACCCCATCCTGGGTCCAGTTATTTGACAGTCTGCATTTACCCTTTCCCTTCATTGTCCCTTGGAAGGGACTCTCCACTGGATCTCTAATCACCCACAGGAATAAACTGGGCATGAACAATGGGCACACAAACTGTCCTGCACCCAGGACCTCACACCCACGGTGCTCTGGCACTCAGCACCCTGCCCTGGGCAAGGCTCTGCATGGGCGAGCCATGTGAGGGCACCGGCCAGGCCACCATGTGCCCGGGGTCCTGCAGCACACTTTCTCCAGCCCTCAGGGGGCTCCTAGTCTTTCTAACCAGCCATATATAGATCATACTTGAATGACCAGCTAATAAAACCAATATCAATTTTGGGGAAGAGACCCAGGAAATTGGTGAATAACATCCAGTGAAGTGCCACTGCAGTCCTGCATAGGAGTCAGTGACAGTCTCTTTTCTCTGACATCTTCAAAATGCAGACTTTAATTTCCTGGCTTTTTCTTTTCATCTTGGTTTTTGGTGGCTGGCCGGTAAGGGGATCTGAACCCTTGTCCTTGGTGTTATCAGCACCACACTAACCAAGTGAGCTAACCAGCCAGCCCTTTTCATTTTGAAGGAAATAGTACTCACTGTAGATAATTTGCGGACTATGAAAAGCCACAAAAAAGAAAATTAAAATCACCCATAATTCTATCATGTGAAGATGATTACTATTAATATTTTATTTATACAATATATTTTATTTTATATTTATATTTGACATTATAAAATTATTTGGGAGAAACATGATATTGCTTTATAACATAGTCTCCCCAACAGGCTGCAGCAATCATTATTTTATGTCAGTCACCAAAGTCTTATGGTTTCCTTCATACAGGCCCTGCACATTTAATCTTTAATCTTTGCAATGTTTTTCATTCTAGTTGCCATTGTGAATGGTGTATGTGTCCCAGGACTCCCAACCTGTTCTGTGATTCACTAGGAGGATCACCGGACTCAGGGCTACAGTTTCCAGCCCATCAGCAAGGGGAAAAGACACAGCAGGCAGGGCTGGATTCCCCACACAGACCTCTGCTTTCTCTCCCTCCCACCAGGAGCCCCACCCAAAATGTGCTTCTGTCTCTGGTGTCAAATGCAGGATCCTGATTGTGCATAGATTTAAAAACACTTTTGTCTCCACATCTAGCTTTCCATTCACCTCTAGATACTTAGTTTTCTTTTAGCCCATGCAGAATCTACGTTTTATTTACAGGGAGAATGTGAGCTCAGACAGCAGGCTCAACACTCACTGCAGTCCCCAAATCAGATCCCTGAGGGTGAAGCCTGGGAACAGGCTCTCTGCAGCTCTTCTCTGTAGAGAACCATCAGGAATGTTTATTTCACTCAGCTCGTTCAAATAAAACAAACTCCTCCACTACAGTATGAAGACGAAAATCTTGGAAAACCCCTATTATATTATGGATGAAAAAAAACAAGCCATTCCTAAGACAGGCTTAACTTTACCTGTTAGCGGAGACTGTGTTTAGAGGTGGAGCTTCCTCCAACCTCCTTTGTTAACCTGGAAGCCCTGTCTGTACTCCATGCTGATTCTGTAGCCTTCTCCATCCCTTCGCCCCAAGAGTCTTCTCTCAATTAACTCCCCCTGCTCCAGGTCTCCAGCCTCCTAAAGGCTAAAGGGAAACTAGGATTTTAATTATTCCTAATTCTGCCAATAAATGGCCAGGCCTGGGATTCTGAGAGTGAGACACTTAAAATGTGAACAGTACTGAGTCACTGAGCTTAAGTTCTGAGCACAATGTAAGTGACTTGCATAAGGGCCTCATTTCCAAACTGTTTTGGATGGGCTTGCAGCAAAGTAGTGAAGCCGGGAGTCAGGCTCTGAGCCCACCTGAAGATGAGGCCCAGAAGCCCAGGCCTCAGCGAGAGCAGAGCTGCAGCAGGGAGCGAGGTGGGCATCGGGGAGACCCTCTTCCCATTTCAGGGCTTGCCAGCATTTGCAGGATGGCCACCAGAGCTTCCCCAACTTTCCTCAGGGTTAACTTAACGTATCAGGTTTCAAGTCCCGTCGCATTCCTCCCCGGTGCCTCTGGCTCTTCTGGTCATTTCTTTCTGTCTTCATAGTTTACCTGGGCAGCAGCTGTCCTGGTGCCAAGCTGGTCTATTGCAGACATTTCTTGGCCCTTTTATTCAGACTCATATTTGTATTTCAGACACATTTGCAGTTTCTTGCCTAGAGCAGGCAAAGCTGTGCCTGCAGCCTGTGTAACACTGGGTGGGGGGCTGTCTGCTGCAGGAAACGGCCAAGCCACTGGTCACGGGAGTAATTATGAACTCTAACCTCTTTAAAAAACAGGCTTAATTATGAATTAGAATAGGGTTTTCAAGAATTTTGCAACCCAGATTAGGTTTTCTCCGTAAACTAGGGCCACCCTTTTCCATCCGCTGCAGGAAACGGCCAAGCCACTGGTCACGGGAGTAATTATGAACTCTAACCTCTTTAAAAAACAGGCTTAATTATGAATTAGAATTGGGTTTTCAAGAATTTTGCAACCCAGATTAGGTTTTCTCCGTAAACTAGGGCCACCCTTTT